GCATATTTAATTTAAAACCCAAAGAAGAATGCAGGAGCCATTCCTGCCATAATCCTTATATCAGCCTTTTCTGAGATGACAGAATCATAGAATCATTTTGGTTGGAATAAGATCATCGAGACCAACTGTATCTCTAAAGTGTTAACTGCTGAGAGGAGAAACATGAAATCCCACCACAGTGAGAGCTGATTAAAATTCAGCCCACTGTATCACCCATAAATAGGAAATAAAGAATACATGGCTGTGATTAATCATCCATAAATGGCCATTGCCTGCTTCCTCTATTCCCTACAAACACACTCCATGTATTTATTCAGCCCACCAAAAGAGTGACAAGCAGATCATTCCTATTTGTCAGAAGCTCAGATTTAAGCAAGTGCTTAAAGTGGGGGCCCTGTGCTTGTGTGTCTGTAGACATGCAGCCACATCTGCTCTTCTCTCTGATTTTCAATATTCATGAGAAAAATCAGAACGTTATGGTTTTTTATACAGGTGTACTTGTCAATAGATCAAAATGCAGAGAGGTGCAAAATCACAGCAACGAGAGCTTTAGTCAAGGAGTTGTTATGGTATTAGAAACATCAATCTCCAAGGACTGGTAATAATAGCACTAGTAAGAAAGAATGTTTCTGTTGTTACACACTGCAGCTCGGCCAAATCTGAGACCTGCAGTAGAAGCACTGAGAAAATAAATAATAAATCATGTGATATACAGAAATTAGACCTGTAGTTTGAAGCACTGGTGGGTAAAGACTGTTTTTACCACTGCGAATATGCCTTCATTAAAGCACCAGCTTGCTTGGTTGTGCTTCAGCTGAGCTCACCAGAGCAGAGCTGCCTGCCCCATTGTCTCCCTGGCGAAGCACACAAGCTTTTCTCACTGCTGTGCTTTACAGCCCAAGAGCTGCAGTCGTGGGGAGAAGGCTGCACCCACCCCCTGGCACCTCTGCTGCCACTGGGTGCTCAGTACACCAGGCAGTTCTCTCAAATACCGCTTGCACAGGTGGTGGAGGTGCAGTGCTGTTGCAGGAATGGGAGGGGACACTTAGGAAATCTGGTCCCTCTGCCCCCATCTTCCTGAATGTCCTTAAGCAAATCACTTGTTTTTTTTTACTGGCCCAGTTCCCCTACCTGTAAAAATGGATGATGAACTACAAACCTCTTTAAAGGCACTGCAGATCAAGGAGTGACAATTGCTGCAAAAACAGCTGAACGTTGATGTTATCATACTGCTTGCTGCAAAATGACCAATAAAACTGTCAGAAATTGGTATAAGGAACAGGAAACAGAATCACAGAATAAAGGATGTTGAAAAGGATCTTGAGTTCATCTCTTCCATCCCTTCTGCTCAGGTTGGGCCAGCTAGAGCAGGTTGCCCGTGGCTATGCCCAGCTGGGTTTTTAGCATCTGCAGGGATGGAGACTCCACAGCCTCTCTAGGCACTATGTTCCAGTGTTTGACTACCTGCACAGTTAAAAGCTTTTCATTTTTGTGTGTTCAGATGGAATTTCATGTGTTAGTTTCAATTGGTGCCCTTTGCCTCTCGTGTAATGTGTGGTTCCCATACACCTTGAGCAACCAGGGAGCCCCAGATGGGAACCACATGTGACCAGATTTGATCTGAATTTTTCTGGTCACCTTTGAAGTCCTAGGCTTTAATTCTCTTTTCACTTGTTTATCTCTCTTAAGGAAAGATTTGGCTACTTTTGCTTGGAGACAAATATTAGCTTGTTGAACCAGTGGGTTTATGCTTCACATCTCCTGGAGATGCTCTGGCACCATCCTAGGGCCCAGCACTCCTAGGAAGTTAGCAGAGCTTTTGTAGCCTTCCTTAGGCTGGGCTGCAGATTTGTAAAACACAGCAATTATTGCCACCACAAGACAGCTCCTTCAGTGAAAAATAATTAAATAAATAAAGCTCATACCTAAAGATTTTATCCTGCATAATTCAGGGGAAGAAATCCATACTGCATTTAAAAGATTACATCTTATCATCCAGTGTACTTATTAGCTTGATGATTTGAAAGTACATGGGGTAGAGTCTTCCCTGCTACTCTGCACTGGCACCAAAGCAGTTGTGCTGATGAATGTGTAGCCTCCTAGCTTGGTTTGGGACTGAACTGCTTTCCAGATGCCAGAACTGGCCCAGATGGGATTGGTATGTACCTGATTGACAGTGAGAAGCCCTGTCCTTGCCTGGGTGCATGTGCCTGGGGGCTGTGCCAGGGACGTCTTTCTTCTTCCTGTTTGGTTCAGTTTGTGGCTGGCACTAACAAGGGGTTAGTGGTGTTTAGTTAGCTCCCTGACTAATCCACTCTGCAGAAACACACAGCATTCCCCTCCTCCCAACAGCACAAGAACATGTTGTGGGGTTGCCAAGGGCTGAATGTCTGTCCCACTGCTGATACATGTGCTTATGACCATCGTTATTGCTTGTGTTAACTCACCTATAGCTACACACCCAGAAGACTCACATAACAAGGGATTTTGGCCTACATGTATTAAAGAGTAAGGGATTACACAAATATATGAGGGTTGTTGCTACCCCCAGGCACCTGCTCCATATCAGGGAAAGACGCAGCCAGGACCCTGTCCCCAAACTTGCTGATACTCCTGTCAGAGAAGCATCAGTATGTGTCTCATTGTCCCTCTCAGTTGTGCCATCCATCTAGGCCAATATTTTGAACCTACTGCCTGGAGTATGAACATGATTTTATATATGCTTGCAGGTTTCTGGATACTGAAAGAGTGAGGAAGTTGGAACAAACTTCAGGCAAATTTACCCTGGACAGGATTAGTTGCTCTGATGGCCCTTGATGATTTCCAAATACAGGTTCCCCTCTCCAGAATGTGCTCTCTTTTGACCCTATGTTTATCCAATGTATCCATGTCCTATACTACATGGTACCTAAGCTCAAAACTTCTACCTTGGGTTCCACCCTGTAAAAATAATTTCTAAATCAATAAAAATTAGAGCTGCTTTTTTTTTTTTTTCTTTTTTTTTTTTTCCCCCCCCAACCCATATTTATAGTTTGGGATGTCCCAGTTTGGCTGAGCTCTCAGTTAAGGAGAAGGGTGTATCCAACAGGCAGTGTGAGAGGGTGAGAGGAAGAGAAAAGGAAGTATTATGCAAAAAACCTTCTCCCTGTTTTTTCAAGGTTGAGAGGTATGAAATAGCTGCATTTAACAGCCATTATTAATTATTGTTTACTCTCTGCCAATATTGCCCTGGAAGCATCTGTGATGATTTATCCAAGCACCCACTGGCATCACTCAGCCTGTCTCATCCATGGAGTCACATTCACATCCCTTGTTGGCTCCATGACCCATTTCTCTCCTGCTTCAGCTCACTTCAGCTGCCTAAGTCTTGGGCCACCAAGTGAGAAATGGAAAAAAGGAACTCACAGGGAAAAAGGAATATGTTAGCATGAGGTAGAATTATCATGGGGTTTCAGATGCTGGAGATTAATCACAGAAAGAAATATTCCTCACCTTATCCTAAATCTTGCAACATCAGGTTCATGGGAGAGCTGAGAGTGGCATTCAAGATTTCCAGGGTGAAGTCCTGGTTTATTTAATAGAGAGGCAAAACTCTTCTTCACCTAAAAGGACCAAAGGTTTCACCCAACCCTCAATGCTGAACCAGAAGCTCTGCAAGAGCTTCCCCATGCTAAAGAGCACCTCAATGCTCTAACCAGCTTCCTGAGATAAAGTTAAATTGTGCTTCTCCATCTTTTTGCCTCCCCTTTTCCTCCTACTTCTTAGTCAAGCCTCCTTAGACTTGTTTTGTCTTTCCCACTGGGTGACTCAGGATCAGCTGCTGATACTCTTTGGGAGTGTGACCGAGCTGTGAGGGACTGAGAGGGAAAAGGAAAGTGCCAAGTACAACATGGATTTGCCAGAAAACAGCTTCCCCAGCAGGAGCTGTGCTCTGTGTCCAGCACTGCAAACACCAGCAAGGGGCCTCTCAGCCTTTACAGCTTCATAAAGGGGCATCTCACAACCACATCATGGGTAGCACTTAAGGCCTAAAAATACATAAATTATGCCACTAGAAATGTCTTCCTCCAGCCTTAAAATGTGTCAAAAATGCTATAGAACAATCTTAGTGGTGCTCACAGGGAGCAAACTCCAAACATTCTCCAGCTTCACCTCGCACCAAAGGGAAATGCACACAAATCACCATTTGTTCAAGCTGAAAGTACCAGGGGTAACAGCCCTAAATGTACAAAATGAACAGGGGGGAGACTCTTTATATGCAGTCTAATTTTATGTATGTAATGGGAGATCACAGCAGGATATCGGCTCCCTTATGACTGTGATAAAGACTTTGTCCCCAATGGCAAAACTTGCTCTAGCACTTGATTTTTCTTCCAAACACTGGCTGGTAAGAAAATATTCCTTTGTATACCCAGGCTGTTGATATTGCAGCTTAGGTTAGAATGGGATGCTTTTTGTTCCCACTGCTTCCAGACAGTAAATTTGAAACCTTTACTGGAAAAACAGCTTATTTTGTAAATTTGGAAATACTTTTTTTAACATTTTCAATTATAAAGACCTTCATAGAAAAAAAGACAACAAAAAAAGACTCTGAATTCAAAGTTCTTTTACATACCTTGCCCATCAGTATTCATGCTCTCAGCCATCCTCTATTCCTTCCACAGGAGGATTTCAAACCCCTCCAGACTTGCTCTTTCAAAAGCATATCTTCCTTCTGTGTGTGCCAACCTGCCATGGAGAGGTGCATGGAATGGGAAATAAATCACCCCTCCCTGGATCGAGCAGCTATCACAAGCCCTGGCTGCCATGCTTCTGCAATGCAGTTCACAACAGGTGCCCTTGGATCTCTGCTCAGAGCTACCAGATGGGGAAGAACATGAGTAATGAGAGGTGCTCCTCCATGTCCAGGCATCCACAGATCCATCCACAGAAGGATGGATCAGACCTGCTCTGGAATCCCCTCTCATGCACCACAGGTGTCCAGCCCACAGCGCACTTACCTCCAGAGAACGTACGAGACGGTGGCTGGTCAGCTCGGCTGGGTCCGAAGCGTGTGGCTTTCCCATGCCTGGAGGTGACCTGCGTGCACTCTGTGGGAGGCAGTCAGCAGGCTCTGGCCATCCTTCCCTCCCCTGGGTGTGTGCAGGTGCTCTCGCTCACAGGGACAAGCTGCCCTGGCTGTGACAGCAGCAGCTGTCTCAGTGCACATCTTCCTTGTAGCCCTGGGCTTGCAGCGACCCAGTGAAGTTGGTCTCTCTTAAACCATGGCTATGGACCACTGAGCACTGATAGTAAAGCACAGAGAAAACCTTAATCAACTCTTGCAAAGTGCTTGGAGAGCTTTTCCTGCACAGGGACAGAGAGACTTTCAGGGGACAGAAATCAGCTCTTTTCAAGCCATGTCAAATGTTTTTAGCTACCTCCAGTACAAAAGGAACTGCAGTGAGCCCTGATTATGAATCTTTACCATCCGGCACCTGCCTCAGGCTGCTGAGGCAACTGCTTTAACTTATTTTTATAAGCAAAGAGTTAGGTAGACACAAACAGACACACACACATTTATATAAAGCACATCCACATATAATCTAGGAGCCAAAGAGAGAATCTCTATCTGCATTTGCAATATCTTTCTGCACCAGGTAGGGAAAGCATCTTTTTCCTTTTAAGCAGGTGCTGTACATACATTGTTTCCTTGCAGTCTATCTTTAGGTTATAGCAGTTCACGAGTTTTTTTCAGCAGATGTGTTATTCAATTACTTCAGGGCTTTTCCATTTATAATGTTATGAAGCAATGATAGCCAGCAGACTTCACCTGTCTTTTAGAGATAGCCAGGCTGGTAATTTTAACTCTGCCCATTTTATCCACGCCAGTAAATCTCATAACATGGTTACAGAGAGATTCCAATTTTTGTAGAACCTTCTCCTGGGAATTCCTGTATACAATATTGCCATAGTCTGTAATGGACATAACCTGTGATTGGATTAATGTTTCCCTAGTGAAGAAGTCAAAGCGTTTCATGTTCCTCTAACTGGTTTGCAGCTCTGCAGTAAAGATCTTTGGTGTGGCAGAGGAAATAATTGCAAACATAGCCCCAATCAGAATATATAATCCCCTCACAGTAAGAGTCCATTTCAGTGCAGTTAGACAGCCTGTGCAGGGGTTTCTAGAGGGATTTTCTTGTCAGGAGAGCAGGATGCACAGAAAATGAGTTAATTTTAGCATTTTAATATTCATCACCTGGTCCTGCACAAAAGGAGGCAAATACATTGCTACTGCAAGGGAGAGCCCTCCAGCCCCCCAGGCAGAGAGTGGGAACAGTGCAGTGGGGCTCTCTGGTCTCCCCATCAGAGCAGCCCTCTGCTTGTGCTCAGGTAAACACATGCCTTTTTGAAGAGTAAATACTGTTCTGTCAAGTTTGATGCCCAGTTTTGGACCTGTATTGGCTTCTGAACCTTTTCAAATCTCTGGTATTACTTTAACTTGGCACAAGTGCCTAATGAAGAATTACTTGTTGAATATACAACGTGCAATACTTACGTCTGAGACACAGATGATTTTCCCTGGGAAGAAGAGGCTCATGGCAGGCCAGAATCAGGCTCTGAAGCAGCATCTGTCTGTTCAAATGAAGGAAAAGGACCTCAGTGATCATGTGGGAGGAAGTGAACTAGAGACTGGGAGCAAAAGGTCTCATATTTTCAGCTCCCATTATAGTCTCCCCAAGAATTTGTGAAATGGTGTGTTTACATCCCACAGACTCTGTCACACCAAAGTGAAAGCCCTCATCTTGTAAGTTAGCACAGAGCCTGCCATCAGGAAGAGCTTTCAAGAAGAGAAACATGTTTTATTGGAGAACCCCAAAAGCAGAGGTGGGTCTCTGGAGAAACCAATATAGTCAACTCTGCCTATAGGGTTCAGAGGAGAATCTCAGGGTAGAAAAAATGGATAGGGGCAACTGTGGGTGGACCAGAAGGTGCCAGAGACAAGCTGAGATAGGTGTGAAATGGGAGGCCAGAGCAAAGAGTTTGAATGTGATATGTTGGAACAAGGATGGGGAAGGCTGGGGAACAAGTGCTGCCCGGCTGAGGAGCCAGGCAGATGCTCCTGGCACATAACCTTATGTTTGGATGTTACAGTATTGCTAGGCAGGTGGAGAGGGTGGGAAGAAGGTTACTAGCATGGGAGTTGACAAATGGGTTGTCACCATTTCCCATATGGGTAACTCTCTCCAATCTGTCCTCTCTATCCAACTAAAACCTTGGGATATCTCAGTATCTCTGGCAGAGACAACCATTCTACATTAGGTCCATCCTAAGACCTGGAGCTTGCAGGCAGTGGGGCAGAGAGGGGTGACAGGAGACCAGTAAAAAGTGGAGACAGTGATTTTCAGGAAGATCCAGTTACTAAATCTAAATGACCAAATTTGACAAGGCAGCAGGAGCCTCTAACAACTGATAGCAGACCAGCACAAGGGCTTCCCAGAACCTGCTTGTCCACATCTTGGTTTTGAAGTGACTCTGGGGGCCTGTGAGGAGGAAGGAATAAAAATTAAGCAACAGACTCATTCCACAGCTTCTTCTATCACTTTATTCATATTTCTACAGTGGACTCTTTAGCAGCTAAGCAAATGCCTGAGACTCTGTCATTATATATTTATATAAGCATTCAAAAAGAAATAATGAGGAACTCTGCAAGTGTTATTCCAGTGAATATGCAGAAGGAATATTATCACCCCAGTAAACCAACTTTGAAAGTCTTCCATTAAAACCTTATAAAATCCAACGATAGCCATAAATTAACACTAGATTAATTCAAAGGAGAACTTATCCCCCCTCTGCATACCTTCTAATCCATATCTCCAAGAGGTCATTTTAATTATCACACTGTCACTGCTATTCATTACTCTGCTATTGGAGACACAGAGCCAGCACTGTGCCTTTTCGATGCCTTGGAATTCACCATGTGAAGGCATTTTATTCCCCCCCAAAACATGGCCAGTTTAACCCCTTCACCTTGAAATGCTGAAAATACCAAATTTGCTTAGTGTTTTAGATAATTTTCCTTCCAGTGGGATGTCTCTTTCTTGTTTTTAACCAAGTTCCCCTTATCAGAGAGAAACTAACTAACTAATGAAAGCCCAGCTAGCAGGTGGATAATGCAGAGACACTATCAGCTCAAGTTTTGTCAGATCCAGAGTAGCTTGTCCTTTTTCAGAGGCATGCAAAGCCATTTTTTTTGCCCTGATTTGTACCTGCTCACTATTTCTGGCCACAGTAAAGCTACCTGGAATGGAAACCATGGGCTAGTTTCTCCCAGGAGGTCTGTTGTGGTGAGCCTCCAGAAGTGCATGTGAGGTTCTGAGACACAATACACAGACTTCAGCCTTCAGTCCTCACCCTGCTTGTGTGGAAAAGAGCTCAAGGACCTTACACAGAGCTCCCTTCTATCTGTTTAGACACAGATGTGGGAACTGTATTAAAGACAGATAAGCATATATGAGGGCCTACTGGCTTCTTGGCTGCAGGACCCCTCTCGATCCTCCTCTTTTGCTCTCCAATATGAGAACCACTGGCTTCATGCTTCAAACCCACAGCACTGGCAGATGTTTCAATTAGTCATACAGGACAGGAGACAAGACTGCCTAGTGACAGTGGCTTCAAGCAGAAATTTCACTTGCTGCCCATGGAAGGAGAAGGTTCTGAGGTTTTGCTTGGAATTAGCACAATACTGTTTGTTCATCCCTTTCACCACCAGCTCACCTCACACTGCCTCAGTCACACATCTGTTAGGAAGTCCAATCTTTCTAGACCCCAGCCAGTTTTTGCTGGAGGATCATGGTTCCTGCCTGTTAGACAGGGCTTGCAGAGAGTTTCATGCCTGCAGCCTGACAGTAACATTTCTCATATGATCCCTTCCCTCAAATTATCTGATAGAAGAGCAGAAAAGCTAACCATGCAGCAGATGATAAACAGCACACTGAGGAGCACCTGCCTGACTCCCAGAAGCTATTTATCAGGCTCTCTTAATGCAAGCTAACAGGGCCAGCACATGCAATTGGCATAAGAGCTTCTGAGCCTGACACTAAAAGGGGAGCAGCATCACATGCTGTAGCAGGGGAGCCAGGACTCCCTTGTTAGCTCATCGTATGGATTACCCCTTTAAAGAGAGAGCAAGGCTGGTAGAGGAAAGGGAGGCTTTCTTATTTTAACAAATAGCTTTTCAGCCACTGCAAATTATGTCCATAAATCTATCAGGTTACTTTTTTTTTTTCCCCAGAGCTGAGACAATAAAAAAAAAAAAAAAAAAAAAAAAAGGCCCTGAGATTGATTTACCATCTATAAATAAATTAAAAAAAAAAAAAAAGAATCAATAGTAAAATTTCTAGCTAATTTCCCTTTCTCTTCCTAGGATCATTTGTTATCTTAGAAATACTTGTTTGGGAAAAAAAAAAGGAGAAACATCATCAGTTCCAGACTCTGACATGTTCCTCTGCCTCGCCCTGCAGAGCAGCCCTCCTCTTCTCCCCTCTCCTCTCATCGTGTGGAGAGCAACTGGTCCTTCAGGTGAACCTGGCTCCTCTTCTCTGGTTTGCCACCAGCATGGCTGTTCCCTTGGCCTCGTTGGGTAGGGCATTTCA